TTATTTCACCTCTGGTGTAGTCTGTGGCTTCACAATGTTGACGTATGGCGCTAATTGGTTGTTTATTTAATGGCCTATTTGTCTTAATAGATCTGCTTCTGCTGAAGCGCTTGCATAATGGCGGTGACCCCCCAGTTGGCGCTTAGTTTTACCACTGGGGGTGGAAGTGAGTTGGACCTGCTCAGCATGGGCTAATAGGCCTGCTACAGTGCTCCTGTTTTTTTAATGTTCTTATGTATATAATACTGCAGTAATAACGAAGCTGGTCTCCATTAGCAACGTTGGTAGTTCGGTGGGCTTATAAGTCCTTGTTTCCCCCAGGTCAGTCCCCTGTAGTTTGGGGTCGAGATATACACACTAACTTTGAACATTAAAATGGTATAAAATACCGACAGGTTGTTAGGTAAGACACATATGCAACAGTTAGGTATCTTTATTATGAAACGTTTCGCCTACACAGTAGGCTTCTTCAGTCAAGTACAGAAAAGTTGATAGAAGCAGAAGATACTTGAAGACGATGTAATCAGTCCATCACCCTTAAAGTTTTGAGGTGGTCAGTCCCTCTTTATTTGAATAAAATATTGTCAGTGGATAAACAGCGGAATGAATGTGAACTGGCACCGTTCAATACTGTAACCTTCAACCACGAGGGTTCTAATAGGAAGAATTTAGAGCCGACATTTCTGTGACATGGTTGTATCTGCAGCCACCACCTTACTGTCTCATTCACACAACAACAGCTTTCACAGCACATTTATTGGTATTCCACTCAGTCCCTTACTGATTACTTACTGGTATGTGTTCAATGATTTGATGAGAGGGAGAGAGAGAGAGAGAGAGAGAGAGAGAGAGAGAGAGAGAGAGAGAGAGAGAGAGAGAGAGAGAGAGAGAGAGAGAGAGAGAGATACTACACTTAGCTCAATTTCGCAGACAGCGAAAAGACAGCTTCTGTACTACAAGACAGGCAGGAAACAGCAACTACATTCTTGCTGTAATCTTCTAAGATCATTTATTCCTAAAATGACTAGAGTCTAGAACTTATTCGTACAGTATAATACCATAGATGAAATAAAGTCAGTTGACCAAATGAAATCTCTGGGTCCCATCTGTCTCCAACTTCACCCTGTTCCCTATCTGTATATTTCATTTAAAGGTAGGATCTCTTAAGCTAACCCTGGAAAAACTCTTGTGTAGAGAAAGAGAGAAAGAGAGAGAGAGAGAGAGAGAGAGAGAGAGAGAGAGAGAGAGAGAGAGAGAGAGAGAGAGAGAGAGAGAGAGAGAGGAGAAGAGGTAGAGAGTAGAGAGACAGATCAATCTCTGGGGAATCTGTGACTTAGTGACCTCGATGATTAACACTTGAGGGTAAACAGGTTACTGTTACAAGATTCAGTTTTTTTTTTTCTGAGGCAGAGACATAAAGCAGACACAACATGCAGCTCTGTACAAAAATACCAACCCTTGTTATAACCCAGCGCCACTGCAACGGACACTTCTGAGCCTTATAAACAGTGCCTTATGTATCTTTGGGGTCCACGATATCCTACAGACACAGGCAAAGTCGTACTTATTACCAGGCTCACGTGCTGGCTTCTAGTTTTACGACTCACTTGCCGCGAGTTCAGACCCCACCTGTACCGTGGTTTATTTCATACTTGGCAATTTCCATACCAGAATTTGTGCACCTCATGTCCATCCTTTGGACAGTAGTGGCTAGTTTATCGTGCACCCCATGTCCATCCTGCGGACGGTAGCGCATGAACATATGGATACACGAAAGGCCCATGGTAATTATTTTTCCTTCAGCCGCATCTGAATGCAAAGGCCCTAAAAGAGTTAACGGGAGTACATCTAAATATATGTCCATAATTTTTTAGAACGAGAATCCTTGAAAGAATGAGAATTTGTTTTCATTTGGTTCAAGAGGACTGGCTAGCGAAGCACTGTGAGGAAAAATAGCCTAGGAAAGTAAAAGTAAATGAGCGCTATAGAGGACTCTTGTTTAAGTGTCTTTGGAATAAAGAAGCCGCAGCCAGTGTTATATGGGATGTGTGGAAAATACTGTATATATTTTCCAGAAATACAGTAGTTATATGTAGATAGATGGCCATACTGTATTTAATAAAAAATTATGTTATAAAAATGGGAAATTCTGCGCCTGCGCAGAAAAGACTCGCCATGTTTGAACGAGACAACACAAGCGTTAGTGAATAATCGGAAGAATTTTCGTGCTCTAGCGGTTAAAATTGGGCTGACACCTCTCAAATAGGAGCCGAAATTGTTGGATGTGCCTTCCTGCATAACTTGATATATCAAGTTATGCAGGACTGCACATCCAACTGGACAAGACAGCTCCAGGAACCTCAGATAAGCTATCTAGATTTGTGTTATAATTCTGGCCAGTATTATTTTCATAAATTTGGTCAGAGTGAGGTTTTCTGAGCATAATACACATTAATCTCCAGTCAAATTGGTGAGTGATATTAAAATATATTCTCCTTCTGTTATGTAAATGTGTGTATATATAATCATTTATTAATTTTAATATACGGTCCACAAACTTATATATTTACCAGAATTCCTGGTGATACATATTTCATTTGTAATTAATAGGTCTAGAGCAACTTGTGGATATGAGAGTTGTAGGTATCGAAGGGGGACATTTTTGCGACCTAGGTGTCCCAAATTCCTACTTGTCTATGTAACTTTGATAAATAATAATTATCTTTGTTATTTACTGGTATGTACATTATGAGTTACATTCAGATAAATGCAATTTTCCACAGGATAATTCTGAGTGCTGTGGGAGTATATTGTGACACCAGTGTTTACTGAGTGTGAGTAGGTTGTATCACCAGTGTTTTCTAAGTGTGAGTAGGTTGTAACACCAGTGTTTTCTAAGTGTGAGTTGTAACACCAATGTTTTCTAAGTGTGAGTAGGTTGTAACACCAGTGTTTTCTGCGTGAGTAGGTTGTAACACCAATGTTTTCTAATTGTGAGTAGGTTGTAACACCAGTGTTTTCTAAGTGTGAGTAGGTTGTAACACCAATGTTTTCTAAGTGTGAGTAGGTTGTAACACCTGTGTTACAACCTACTCACACTTAGTATGAGTAGGCTGTAACAGCAGTGTTTTCTAATTGTGAGTAGATTGTAACACCAGTGTGTTCCAAGTATGAGAAGGTTGTAATACCAGTGTTTTCTAAGTATGAGTAGGTTGTAACAGCAGTATTTTCTAAGGTTGAGTAAACTGTAACAACGTTGTTTCCTCAGAGTAGATTGTAACACCACCACAATTTGCCCACAAATTAGAAACGGAAACCAGACGACGTTTCAGTTCGTCCTGGAGCACTCTCCACACATTAGCAGCTTAATAAATGATCAAGAACAGACCGAAATATCGTTTAGTTTCCTCTTCTAACTTGCGGGATAATTTTGAGTTGTTCAAGCCTCGGTATCGCAAAATAACAAGATTTTAAATTGCATGTAAATATCAGAATTTTGCTAAAAAAAAAAAAATCCCATGGAAATGTGATTTAGAGAGGAAGTTTCATTAAAATTTATGGTAAATTATCCTTTTCTACGAAAAATATCCCCAATTTTGTTATTTATATGCCCGTGGACTAGGAGACAATCAAGTTCAAATCAAGGAAAAAATGGGAAGGTAGCTCGAAATCCTTGGATCAGCAGCCCCTTAGCAGCATCAAGATACCTTTGTGTTTTGGAAAGTCCCGTCAGTCAATATCCTGCCACAAGATGATGAACCAAGAACGTGTTTCCTTGGTTTTAATTAGTATTATCTTCATCCATATATGGTTCCTCGACTTTATAAGTTGCAGCGAACATACCTTTCCTAAATATATTATATATCGATTAATTTAATTAATAGACAGGCAGGGACACGGGCAGTTAGAGGGACGTGTACACAGGCACGAATGCCTCATTTCGTGTGAAGAATATGGCTCGTGTTATTTCATTAGCGAGATGGAAATTTTCGTGGAAAGCGTTCGCTGGCAAGGGGTATGTATTTATGTTGATGAAGCGGCTGATCACCCCAGTTCTAGTTGAAGGCGAGCCTAGTCAGGTCAGTTCTGGCGGTGAGGTTGGTGGTGCATGAAACTCAGGTTCCACTGAGTATAACAGCTTCAACTTACCCATTGTAACGCTGTGTGCTTACTGTCCCTGCGTGTGTACAATATGGACTTTATTTCCACAGCTTGCTATATTTACCATTTTTATGGTCATATTCAGGAAAAGTGTTAAATAGGAGTGCGTAGCTCAGCAAAAAAAAAAAAAAATGCCCCTGGTCCCGTTGCTTTACTTCAGATATACCAGTGTAGTGATGTATGTATGCACCGTGGGTTCCATAGGTACTATACCAAATCTGGAGCTCGCGTATGGAGCTTTTGTAATGCACACTTTTGAACCCACGAATGGGGCTTCATGATAATCCCACTTAAGGTGTTTGCTTCCACAACTTCCTAGCCTAGTTCATGTCATATTTTTTCAGTGCTTCCTACCGTCCACCTGACTCATCTGAGAGCTCATCTTCATTTTAGAGATTAATGTATTATTGATGTTATTGCCAAGGTAAATTGCGGTCTTGATATTCGAGAAGTTGATTGACCATTGTTATACCAAACTAATACCATATATATTAATGTAGCGATTATAAATTTTCAGAAATATTAAACTAAGTTTTTAATTATAAAGTAAACTGACGTTTAACGTTCACATTATAAATATACTTGATTATTTTTACAAGAAAATGTGTTCAGTATGTCTTTGGTTCCAGATTCTTGGCAGAAATAACTACGGTCGCCACAAACTCCAGAGAAAATACCAGGGGTGCCACGAAATCAAGAGATAATATTAAGGGCGCCAATAATTCCGGAAAGGCGATGCCAGAGAAGGAAGGAATTAAATACGCATCCTCAGAGACACTTCCTCTAACGATGGCCTCCTTGGGAAATTCAGTGAAGAAATCATCCGCAGGTCATAACAATGGAGCCGAGATGGATGGTATCAAAGCAGCGAGTGGGCAGCAGGTGAAGCTTCAGATAGCAAGACAGCATCTGGTCAGCGCCCGGACACCGTCGTGCAGTTGAAGAGGGTGCTCGGGCTGAGGAATGGTGTGGGCTTGATCGTGGGCAACATGATCGGGTCTGGCATCTTCGTGTCGCCCACGACGGTGGTGCAGTACACAGGCAGTGTTGGCATGGCACTGGTGGTGTGGGTGGCCACAGGACTCGTGACCACGGTGGGAGCTCTCTGTTACGCCGAGCTTGGTGAGTCAATTTTATTATTCTCAGATAATGTGTGAACAGTAAACTAATTCTTAAATCCACTTTATTGACTTTGTATCTTGAGTAATATCGCACGACCGACTCTAGTTGAAAGATTGTGAAGTATAATCGTTCGAGAATTGAGTGTTGATTGTAACTTCCAGACTGAGCTAAGACAGTTCCATGGATTTTTTGACCTAAACAGGCATGAATTTTTCCCATTCAGAGGTAACTTTAATCACTATTTTAGGGATTCATAAATATTTCATAAAAGTGAATTACGGGGATAGCAGCCATAATGACCCATACATAATGTATAGGTGTTATAATAACTTTTTGTACAACAGTATATTGTATACACATGTATATCTCTCAAGTTATATACAATGAGGTTTAAGTACTTAAATCCTCTTTCTTAGTGTTCAGAGTATCCTTGAAGGAATACTACCTTGATGACCCTTGTTGTATCAGTAGGCCTTAAATTTCTTAGTGTTCAGAGTATCCTTGAAGGAATACTACCTTGACCCTTGTAGTGTCAGTAGGCCTTAAATTTCTTAGTGTCTAGAGCATCCTTGAAGGACTAGTCCTTGTGTTGTCAATAGGCCTTAAACTTACAGCAGTAATAATTCTACCAACATTAACATATTCGTTCTTCATTCCTTCACAGTGCTGTGTTCAAGTAGGTATCCTCCGGTTAAATCATGAACAACATCTAACTGAGTCGATTTTGCAATACAACAATAGTTCCATGTTCTGGATTTGATTCCCTTTAAAGAGGGTTCCTTGATGCTACTGGTAAAGGACTCTTGATTTAAGAAATTGACGTTACCCTCTCTTGGTTGCCTTTCATAAGAACATAAAAATGGAGGAACACTCCATCAGGCCTACTAGCCCATATTAGGCAGCAGGTTCTTCTCAAGGTCAAACCCACTAAGAAAAGTATTTGTTCAACCCCTTTGCTACCCAAGGAGTAAGCTTTGATAACCCTGTTAACTTACATGCAATTCCCGCTTAAATCCAACCCCTCTCACTCATATTTGAAGCTACCCAAGGTTTTAGCATCAGTAACCCTACTAGGCAAACTGTTCCACTTATCAACTACCATATTTCCAAACCAATACTTTCCTATATCCTTTCTAAATGTAAACATATCCAGTTTGAATCCATTAGTTCGAGTTCTTTCGTGAAGGGATACCAATATAACAATAATAATAAGAATAATCTTCCTGTGCTCTGAAGGAGGGGCGGAGACATGTTGCAGCTTTTGACTGTATTGTAGGCGCGCCTCTGGCAAGACAGTCATGGGACGAATGATGATGAAAGTGTTTCTTCTTTTACGAGTCACCCTGCCTGGGTGGGAGAGAGCCGATGTGTTAATGAAAAATAACTAAAAAAAATCTATTTGATCAGGGACGACTATTCCCAAAAGCGGAGGAAACTACACGTACATCCTGGAAGCGTTCGGTCCCCTGCCTGCCTTCCTGGTGATCTGGACCAACTTTTTCATCGCCAAGCCCTTCGCCCGCGCTATTGTCGCCATCACCTTCGCCAACTACCTCCTTCAGGTGTTTATTCCTGACTGCTCCTCGCCTCCCTACTACGCTGTCAGACTGCTGGCAGCTGCCTTGCTCTGTGAGTGTTGTAGCCAGTGATTCGCCCTTATTATTATTATTATTATTATTATTATTATTATTATTATTATTATTATTATTATTATTATTATTATTATTATTAAGGCATTCAAGGGAAAGAGCGAAATCCCGCGGATCGCTCCTGTGGAATGGGAGTCCTGGAATGAACCAAACGATACCCAATGAAACCAAGCCACTGCTCTTCTTTTGTTATTCTGGGCTAGTAACCCTCCAGGTTAATAATCCGATAAGTCTTGTTGTTGATCGTCTTCTCTTCAACGGTTTCTTTTTGTTCTTCTTGGTCTACTTTTTTTTTTATAAACTGCAAGAACAGGTTATGTATGGGGTCACTGAATTGTAAGATCAGGTCTGGTGAGATGGGTATTGGTGGGAGCAGTGGGTGGGTGAGTGTGGGACGACACGTGTATGTTTATTATATGGGTTGTGGACAGTGTGGGCAATAGTACCCTGGCAATGGACCAGGTGCTTCAACTCCTTCAGTACCCTGGTGATGGACCAGGTGCTTCAACTCCTTCAGTAACTTGGTGATGGACCAGGTGCTTCAACTCCTTCAGTACCCTGGTGATGGACCAGGTACTTCGGCTCCTTCAGTACCCTGGTGATGGACCAGGTGCTTCAACTCCTTCAGTACCCTGGTAATGGACCAGGTGCTTCAACTCCTTTAGTATCCTAGTGATGGACCAGGTGCTTCAGCTCCTTCAGTACCCTGGTGATGGACCAGGTGCTTCAGCTCCTTCAGTACCCTAGTGATGGACCAGGTGCTTCAACTCTTTCTTATGAGTTAATAGGGTTATCAAAGCTTATTCCTTGGGTAGAATTGAAAACGGTTTTGACAAATATTTCTGTTAGTAAGTTTGGGTTAGAGAAGAACCTGCCTACTATGAGCCAGCAGACCTGCAGTGTTCCTCCGTTTATATTTTACTTTTTGGTGTTGTTATTGTTATTGATGTTGCTCTGCGTCGTCGTCGTCTTCGTTTTCAGCTTTTTCGTGTCCACTTAACAAATTTCTCCTTCCTGTTTTTCCTCAGGTCTAATTGCATACATTAACTGCATCGGCGTCAAGCTTGGGTCGCGAGTGCAGGACACACTGGCTCTTACCAAGGTCAGTATTTACACTCTTTAATTTCCCCTCCTCTTCCAAAATAAACCCCGAACTTGGTCATTAATCTTCAACTTATTTGACCTTTATAAGGACCCCCCCCCATCCGGAGATTCTCTCATCCTGGGACACAGTTAACTAAAGTTGTAGAAAATTTAATATTGCGTAGGTTTGCGTAAAATTTTCAGTTAAGTATATTTTTTTTATCAAAATTCAGTTTAGCGATGATACGCTACCCTTAATGCAAATTTAAAAATGTTATAACTAAAATTGACATAACTTTAACTCTGAACTACGTTTTGGATCGATAATTTTTTGTTCAAGTCACGACTGGTCCGTGACTGATCGAAACGTCATTCCAAAAGTCTCCTCTCCAAATTGCTATTTTATTGATAACTGTGTCAGCCATGGTACTAAGACGCTTAAGACACCTGTGCAACGGTTGGATATCTGCTATCTACAATACATCCTTCTCTGTATCTGACTGATGAAGCCTCCTGCGTAGGGCGAAACGTTTCAACAACACATAATAATCTTACATCATATTATTGTACCCCACAAGGTGGTGGCCCTGTTCATCATCATCATAGCTGGGGTCCAACATCTGGCCCGGGGCCATGTTGAGTACTACGTGGATCCAATGAAAGGAACTGTGTGGGATGTTGCCTCATTCGCCACCGCCTTCTACTCAACACTTTTCGCCTACAATGGATGGTGAGTGGATGAGGAAGACAGGTGGAAGTATATGGTATAAAATACCTAAATGATCTGTTTTGTGGGCGAAACCTAGTCAATAAAGAATGGCATTGTACTGCAGTTGTGTCTGTTTTTCCATGATGACTGGTGGATGATGACTGTACTATCGTGACGGGTGATATAGTGACGTGAGGATGTAGAAAACCACTATTGACAGATATAAGAACAGTATCATTGAGCTACGTCGCATGTCCTTTTTAACCACGATAATAAAATATGAAAAAAATATAGTTGACGTAGATATACGTACACGGTTAAAGATATATATTTCTCATTGTATATACACAGAGTATAATTTAATTCGTATCTTAGGGATTACAATATTCTTGACTGGTGGTGTATGGATTTATGAAGCCTCATGTAGACGATAGGCTTGGAAGCCAATAAACCAACTCAAGAAAAACCACTAATAGCAAGACAAATGTGACTCAATGGTGCTGCTTCTCTGTCCTTGTTAAAACAGATTTTCCTGTCATTGAAGGCTGGATGGTGTCTCTGAACTCCCGTCTTGTACCTCTAAACTTAAGTTTTGTACTTCTAAACCTACCTTTTGTACCTCTAAATTCACGTTTCGTACATCTAAACTCATGTTTGGAACTTCTAAGCCTACGTTTGGGACTTCTAAACCTACGTTTTGTACTATTAAACCCATGTTTTGTACCTCTAAATCTACGTTTCATACCTCTAAACCCGTTTCGTACCTCTAATCCCACGTTTCGTCCTCTCAGCCCACGCTTCGTACCTCTAAACCCACGTTTCGTACCTGTAAATCCACGTTTATTCTTCTAAATCCAATTTTTTCTTTACCTCCAGGTACAGTCTCAACTTCGTCGCCGAGGAACTGAAATCGACAGACACGTACGTACGGAAATCAACGTTTTATGTGTCTATCGCTAGGTGAAAAGGAGGCAGCAGGTATTAGGAGTGTTACTCTTACGTTGTTTATTAAAATACAGAGACAATTACTTTTATTTTATATTGGAACAAGATTAGTATATTTTTTTAACGAGGTTCTCTTCGAAAGTTTTTTTTTTTTGACACTAATCTTATATACAGTCACTTGCGAAAGAATTAATTAATAATAATTCTTAAAGGTCTAACACTGTGACTTATGAATGTGACTTATTACGTTTCTCGACTTAAGAATAAACAATGTGTTCAGACACAGTACGTCCACATACAATCCTAAATAAATTACATCCACACAACACATCAATACACATAACACACACACACACACACACACACACACACACACACACACACACACACACACACACACACACACACACACACACACACACACACAAACACACACACACACACACAGTATCCCCGTAACACAATACTTACACACACACCTTTGCATACAATAGCTAACAAGCAATACTCAAACACAATATACCACAGACATTCAGGAATATGCAACAGAGTAAATTGCATCTTGTTGCAGGACTATGCCGCGAGCCATCGCTATCTCAATGGGAATAGTGACAGTGATATACACACTCACCAATGTTGCTTACTATGCTGTCTTGACTCCTGCTGAGATCCTCTCTTCCAGTGCTGTGGCTGTGGTGAGTATATATATGCTGTGTCTTCCAGTGGTGTGGCTGTGGTGAGTATATATATGCTGTGTCTTCCAGTGCTGTGGCTGTGGTGAGTATATATATGCTGTGTCCACCAGTACTGTGGCTGTGGCGAGTATATATATGCTGTGTACTCCAGTGTTGTGGCTGTGGTGAGTATATATATGCTGTGTCTTCCAGTGCTGTGGCTGTGGTGAGTATATATATGCTGTGTACTCCAGTGTTGTGGCTGTGGTGAGTATATATATGCTGTGTACTCCAGTGTTGTGGCTGTGGTGAGTATATATATGCTGTGTACTCCAGTGTTGTGGCTGTGGTGAGTATATATATGCTGTGTACTCCAGTGCTGTGGCTGTGGTGAGTATATATATGCTGTGTACTCCAGTGTTGTGGCTGTGGTGAGTATATATATGCTATGTACTCCAGTGTTGTGGCTGTGGTGAGTATATATATGCTGTGTACTCCAGTGTTGTGGCTGTGGTGAGTATATATATGCTGTGTACTCCAGTGTTGTGGCTGTGGTGAGTATATATATGCTGTGTACTCCAGTGCTGTGGCTGTGGTGAGTATATATATGCTGTGTCCACCAGTGTTGTGGCTGTGGTGAGTATATATATATGCTGTGTCCTCCAGTGTTGTGGCTGTAGTGAGTATATATATGCTGTGTACTCCAGTGTAGTGGCTGTAGTGAGTATATATATGCTGTGAACTCCAGTGCTGTGGCTGTGGTGAGTACATATATGCTGTGTACTCCAGTGCTGTGGCTGTGGTGAGCATATATATGCTGTGTACTCCAGTGTTGTGGCTGTGATGAGTATATATATGCTGTGTACTCCAGTGTTGTGGCTGTGGTGAGTATATATATGCTGTGTCCACCAGTGTTGTGGCTGTGGTGAGTATATATATGCTATGTCCTCCAGTGTTGTGGCTGTGGTGAGTATATATATGCTGTTTCTTACCAGTGTTGGGCGTAGTGTATTATATGCCTGACCCAGTATTGTGGCTGTGGTAGTATAATATGCGTGTCCACCAGTGTTGTGGCTGGGTGAGTATATATATGCGGTACTCCAGTGTTGTGGCTGTGTGAGTATGATATATGCGTGACCAGTGTTTTGGCTGGGTGAGTGTATAATATGCTGTGTACTCCAGTGTGTGGCTTGTGAGTATAAGCTGTGTACTCCAGTGCGTGGCTGTATGAGTATCGTTAATGCTGTGTCCACCAGTGCTGTGGCTGTAGTGAGTATATGTATGCTGTGTCCACCAGGCTGGGGTATTGGTATATAATGCTGTGTCCACCAGTGTTTGTGGCTGTAGTGAGTAGTATATATATGCTGTGTCCAAAGTGCTGTGTGATAAATAGTTTGCTGTGTCCAACCGTGTTGTGGCTGTGGTATATACGCTCTGCCCACCAGTGTTATAGTATATATACTATCCAAGAGTGCTGGAACTCTTAGGATCCAGCCTCACCATTCCTTGTTCGAACTGACCAACACGGGTTTAGCAGTTCATAAAAGAATGATAATAATAATGCGATCGAGACTTTCAGTCAAGCTAGGAAATTACATCGTTGCACTCAAACCTGATGCGAGCCCATGAGCACCTTAGAGCAGAGCTCGTGAGCACCTCAGAGGAGAGCTCGTGAGCGCCTCGTATTAGTAAAGTATTTTCATAACCCACAAATTGAAAACCACATAATGTTTTGGTTCCTTCTTGTCATGATCACGACCTTAATGGTCCAAAGACGGATAATCAGTTTTCTATTTCCAGTTTGGGAGATAAGTTGTGTATACGCTATCTAGTTCCCCTACAGTGACCTTCCATTATACATAACACATCCAGATCCAAACATCAGTAGTATCCTCGTAGCAACAGCAGCAGCATCATCAGTTTCTCGTTGGATTTCAGACGTTCGGTAACAGGATGCTGGGAGTGCTGGCCTGGATCATAGCCTTCTTCGTGGCCTGCTCCACCGCTGGCAACACCAACGGTAGCCTCATGATTCAGTCCCGCACAGTGTATGCCGGAGCGCGTGAGGGCCACTTTCCCAAGTTCCTGGCACTCCTTGACGACAATGCCACACCTGTCACCGCAGTCATGTTTTCAGTGAGTTACGTTTACTGATGAAAATGTGACTAAGTGATGCTCTCGTGTGTGTGCTTGTGTGTGTGTGTGTGTGTGTGTGTGTGTGTGTGTGTGTGTGTGTGTGTGTGTGTGTGTGTGTGTGTGTGTGTGTGTATGTGTGTGTGTTTTATATATATATATATATATATATATATATTATATATATATATATATATATATATATATATATATATATATATATATATATATATATGTCGTGCCGAATAGGCAGAACTTGCGATCTTGGCTTAAATAGCAACGCTCATCTTGCCATATAAGACAAGCGAAAATTTGTGTATGCAATAATTTCGTCAAAATCATTCTGAGATAAATGAAAGATAAAGACTAAGAGAAGCAGAGAGAATGAGAGGAAGAAAGAATGAAAGGGTTACAGAATGAGACTGAAAAATCCATTCACACAAGACAAGAATATTATATACCCGCTTTGCCAGTAGACCTGCGCTATGTTGAGAATTTGCGTTTGCTTACAATCAGTGATATGAAACAATCAACCCCTCACTGGCAGCCATTTTTACTTATCTCTGTAGCAGTTAACTGTAGCAGTTCGCACTGTTTCTATATAGTGCAGATCACTGGAAATGCTTTGCATTGTTTGCAGGCTGTCATTCCACTAGTGGCTCTCATGGCTGACAACGTCGGAGGCCTCCTGGCCTACACCTCCTTCTCCAACAACCTCATTAGTCCTCACCGCCGTCCTGGGTCTACTGTGGCTCAGGTACAAAGAACCAGACAGACCGAGACCCTTCAAGGTAGGTTCACATACATACAACAATCCTTCTTCCTAATAAAGTCAGTATTTTACAATGATTTACATAGTTGGCTGTGTGACTGTTTTACTCACGCTTCAGACACAGACACTGCAACAACTCTCCGAACAGAAGAGTCGAACCAATGGCAGACAAGTCCTAAAGCTAGTACGATGTTGATCTACAAGTTGACTTGTTGACAATCATGTCATTAGGATTTCACAAGTCATTGCAACAACAACCATTAATTTTAGAGTTATTAATTATTATTTTTATATTCGCGAAGAAGCATTAAGCCGCAGTAGGTCATACAGACAATGATAATTCCAATTCTTATTAACCGGCAAATTCAACGTTCAGATAAATGCTTCAGTGAACCAACATGTTGATAAATTAGAGAGATATGCAACACTTGGTTATCTTTATTGAGGCGAAACGTTTCCACAATAGATACCCAAGTGTTGTATATGTCTAATTTATCAAGAAAATGTGCCTTAACTCGTGGAAAAGTCATAGAACTCCTTAGTGAAGCATTTGTCCCTCCAGCTGACAGTATAATACGTCCAGCTAAAAAATGTTGTTTGTACAGGTTTGGCTGGGATTCCCAATCATGTACTTGATGGTGAACGTATTCCTGGCGGTGTTCCCCATTGTCAGGAGACCTGTGGAGATAGCCGTCGCTCTAGTTACCATGATTTCTGGCCTCCTGGTCTATTACATCTGCATTCACCGGACCAAGCCAAGATTACTTTCCAAAATCATAGGTAAGTTTTGAGTGTTTATGGTTTTTTTTTATCTTCACCGAGCAACACACACACACAAAAAAAAAGAATGGTGGGGACTCGCAGGAAGCAGGGATCAGATGAGAATGGTTCTGGTAGGGAGGACTGGATGGAAGAGCAGTGGAAAAGGATGGAACAAGAGTGGGAGAGAAAATTAGGAGAGCTTTCTGAAAAAATGGAGAAAGAGCTCTCTGTGAAATTGGAAAAGAGGTTGGAGAAGGAGACGAAGAATTGGGAGGCACAAGTTGAAACTGCAGTAGCCAGGATAAGGGTCCTAGAAGTTGAGGTAAACAGGGTGAAGCAAGTTACAGGGGCAGTGACCAGAGAAGACACAGCATATGAAGCTGAGAGGCTGAACAGAAAGGTAGGAGATATGAATTATGCTAAGGTCATATCAGCCTGCCAAGAAGGGCCAAGGAGTGAAAGAGGAGCGCAGCTGGGTGCAGATAGAGAGGGTGATAGGTCGAATGCAGAGGCACAACCATGCTACCAAGAGTCACTGGAAAAATCAAGGGAGAAAGTGACCACATACAGATAGGATCCAGAGTCACAGAGGGAGAGGCAATGAGAGGAGGAAAGGGCAAAATCAGTGTTTATCCATGGGCTTCAGGAGAGAGAGAAGGAAGGACACACACTGAAAGACGGCAGGAAGAAAGAAAGAAGATTGAGAAAATCATCACGGAAATAGGTGAAGAAGACATGAACGAGATTGTAAATTTTCAGAGAATAGGGGAATACTTTAAGGGGAGGAAACGACCGATCAAGCTGATTCTCAGGACAGAAACAGTGCTGAACAGGATCCTCCAAGAGAAACCACAGTTGAAATACTTGGAAAAGTACAAGAGGGTGTTCCTAGACAGAGACAGAACACAAACAGAACGACAGCAGCTGAGGGAGAGGACAAAAAAAGCGAAAGGAGCTAGGAAAGGAGACAAGGATGGAACCAGCAGAGGTCAGTCAGAGCAGAACAGAGCAGCAAGGGCAAGCACACACACAACTATCCTCAGAACCCCACACCCATTCACACCATCCCAACACAAACTACAATCCATACCCACAGCTTCCACCCAACACCCAGATATAAATCCCACAGTATGCTACCAGGTCTCCCACCCTCACAGGCTCCCCAAACCACAGTGTTGGAAAGGAAACTGAAGGTATGGTACACAAACGCTGATGGAATAACAAATAAGTGGGAGGAGTGGCACGAAAGAATCAAAGAGGCATCACTGGACATCATAGCTCTCACAGAAACCAAGCTTACAGGTATGATAACAAATGCCATCTTTCCAATGGGATACCAGATCCTGAGGAAAGACAGAGGGAACAGGGAGGGTGGAGGAGTGGCACTGCTGATCAAAAACCAATGGAATTTTGATGAGCTGGAGGAGACAATGGAGAAGAAAATGATTACATAGCGGGAACACTTCACTCTGGAGGTCCCAAGGTGGTAATTGCAGTGATGTATAACCCACCACAGAACAGCAGGAGGCCAAGGCAAGAGTGACGAGAGCAATAGAGTGATGGTTGACACACTGGCTGCAGTGGCCAGAAGAGCTCATGCATGCAGGGCAAAGCTCCTGATCATGGGTGACTTTAACCACAAGGAGATCGATTGGGAGAACTTGGAGCCACATGGGGGCCAAGATACATGGAGGGCTAAGATGATGGAGGTGGTACTGGAAAACTTAATGTACCAACACGTAAGGGACACTACAAGAGAGAGAGGAGAGGATGAACCAGCAAGACTGGACTTAGTATTCACCTTGAGTAGTGAAGATATTGAGGACATCACATATGAAAGACACCTTGGGGCCAGCGATCATGTGGTTTTAAGATTCGAATACACAGAGCTACAAGTGGAGGGGGAAGCAGGAAGGCCAGGACGAATGAAGCCAAACTACAAGAAAGGGGACTACACGGGAATGAGGAACTTCCTGATCGGGGTTCAGTGGGACAGAGAACTGGCAGGGAAGCCAGTTAATGAGATGATGGAATATGTAGCAACAAAGTGCAAGGAGGCTGAGGAGAGGTTTGTATCCAAGGGTAACAGGAATAATGAACAACCCAGGATGAGCCCATGGTTCACCTAAAGGTGCAGGGAGGCAAAAACCAAGTGTGCTAGGGAATGGAAGAAATATAGAAGGCAAAGGACCCAGGAGAATAAGGAGAGCAGTCATAGAGCCAGAAACGAATATGCACAGATAAGAAGGGAGGCCCAACGACAATATGAAAACGACATAACAGCGAAAGCCAAATCTGACCCGAAACTGTTATACAGCCACATCAGGAGGAAAACAACAGTCAAGGACCAGGTAATCAGGCTAAGGAATGAAGGGGAGACAACAAGAAATGACCGTGAAGTATATGAGGAACTCAACAAGAGATTCAAAGAAGTGTTCACAGAGTAGACAGAAGGGGCTCCAGAAAGACGGAGAGGTGGGGCACACCACCAAGTGCTGGACACAGTACACACAACCGAGGAAGAAGTGAAGAGGCTTCTGAATGCGCTAGATACCTCAAAGGCAATGGGGCCGGATAACATCTCTCCATGGTTCCTGAGAGAGGGAGCAGAGGTGCTATGTGAACCCCTAACAACAATATTCAATACATCTATCGAAACAGGGAGATTGCCTGAGGCATGGAAGACAGCAAATGTAGTCACAATCTTTAAAAAAGGAGACAGACATGAAGCACTAAACTACAGACCAGTGTCACTGACATGTATGGTATGCAAAGTCATGGAGAAGATTATCAGGAGAAGAGTGGTGGAACACCTAGAAAGGAATGATCTCATCAACAGCAGCCAACATGGTTTCAGGGACGGGAAATCCTGTGTCACAAACCTACTGGAGTTCTATGACATGGTGACAGCAGTAAGACAAGAGAGAGAGAGGGGTGGGTGGATTGCATTTTCTTGAACTGCAAGAAGGCGTTTGACACAGTTCCACACAAGAGATTAGTGAAAAACTGGAGGACCAAACAGGGATAACAGGGAAGGCACTACAATGGATCAGGGAATACTTGTCAGGAAGACAGCAGCGAGGTGTCAGAGTGGGTACCTGTGACCAGCGGGGTCCCACAGGGGTCAGTCCTAGGACCAGTGCTGTTTCTGGTATTTGTGAACGACATGACGGAAGGAATAGACTCTGAGGTGTCCCTGTTTGCAGATGACGTGAAGTTGATGAGAAGAATTACATTCGATCGAAGACCAGGCAGAACTACAAAGGGATCTGGACAGGCTGCAGAACTGGTCCAGCAATTGGCTCCTGGAGTTCAATCCCACCAAGTGCAAAGCCATGAAGATTGGGAAGGGCAAAGAAGCCGCAACGGAGTACAGTCTAGGGGGCAGAGACTACAAACCTCACTCAAGGAAAAAGATCTTGGGGTGAGTATAACACCAGGCACATCTCCTGAAGCGCACATCAACCAAATAACTACTGCAGCATATGGGCGCCTGCAAACCTCAGAACAGCATTCCGACATCTTAATAAGGATCGATTCAGGACCCTGTACACCGTTACGTTAGGCCCATATTGGAGTATGCGGCACCAGTTTGGAACCCACACCTAGCCAAGCACGTAAAGAAACTAGAGAAAGTGCAAAGGTTTGCAACAAGGCTAGTCCCAGAGCTAAGAGGTATGTCCTACGAGGAGAGGTTAAGGGAAATCAACGTGACGACACTGGAGGACAGGAGAGATACGGGGGACATGATAACGACATACAAAATACTGAGAGGAATTGACAAGGTGGACAAAGACAGGATGTTCCAGAGATTGGACACAGCAACAAGGGGACACAGTTGGAAGTTGAAGACGCAGATGAATCACAGGGATGTTAGGAAGTATTTCTTCAGCCACAGAGTAGTCAGGAAGTGGAATGGTTTGGGAAGCGATGTAGTGGAGGCAGGATCCATACATAGCTTTAAGCAGAGGTATGATAAAGCTCACGGTTCAGGGAGAGTGACCTAGTAGCGACCAGTGAAGAGGCGGGGCCAGGAGCTTGGACTCGGCCCTGCAACCTCAACTAGGTGAGTACAACTAGGTGAGTACACACACACACAGACAGACAGACAGACAGACAGACACACACACACACACACACACACACACACACACACACAACACTTGTTTTAATCACATAAACACTCGTGATGTCACCTGATCTCAGCTTTCTCTTCACCACATAAGCTTCAGTATAGTAAACCAAGCTGGATTTTGCTAGACAAGTTGAATATGCTAGACCCAAGCTGATATATATTAGACACAAGCTGAGGTATATAAGAACCAAGCTGGAGTATATTATGCCTAAGCTGAAGTATTTTAGACGCTGTTTGGATATGTTAAACCCAGACTGGGGACCTTTAAAGCCAAGCTGATGTACATAGATGTGGTAAATATTCCACATTTAAGAAAAACTAACATATAAACAAAACAGAAGATTCGGATATGTAACAAATAATATTTCAGACTTAAGGAATATGTTTTATATAAAAAAAAAACCTGTCCTGGACCATTGTCAAGTTACAACTGAAGCGAGGAAAGTAGAGAAGGCCAGAAGACATTACGTGAAGGGGGTGAAGAAAAAAGTGGTAGTAGTAGTAGTAGTAGTAGTAGTAGTAGTAGTAGTAGTAGTAGTAGTAGTAGTAGTAGTAGTAGTAGAAGTAGTAGTAGTAGTAGTAGTAGTAGAAGTAGTAGTAGTAGTAGACGTGGAAATAGTAGCACTAATTTGAGCTGTGAAGAAAAAAAAAGACACCATTGCTATTGTTAGGAGACAGTAGGAGGAGAGAGTTTATTGTAACCATCTTTAAGTTCACGAGGGGCTACGAGCCATCTTTAGGTTTACGAGGGGCTACGAGCCATCTTTAAATTCACGAGGGGCTACGAGCCATCTTTAGGTTCACGAGGGGCTACGAGCCATCTTTAAGTTCAGAGGGGCTACGAGCCATCTTTAGTTCACGAGGGGCTACGAGCCATCTTTAAGTTCACGAGGGGCTACGAGCCATCTTTAGTTCACGAGGCTACGAGCATCTTAGTCACGAGGGCTACGAGCCATCTTTAAGTTCACGAGGGGCTACGAGCCATCTTTAAGTTCACGAGGGGCTACGAGCCATCTTTAGGTTTACGAGGGGCTACGAGCCATCTTTAAGTTCACGAGGGGCTACGAGCCATCTTTAGGTTCACGAGGGGCTACGAGCCATCTTTAAGTTCAGAGGGGCTACGAGCCATCTTTAGGTTCACGAGGGGCTACGAGCCATCTTTAAGTTCACGAGGGGCTACGAGCCATCTTTAAGTTCACGAGGGGCTACGAGCCATCTTTAAGCTCACGAGGGGCTACGAGCCATCTTTAAGTTAACGAGGGGCTACGAGCCATCTTTAAGTTAACGAGGGGCTACGAGCCATCTTTAAGTTCACGAGGGGCTACGAGCCATCTTTAAGTTAACGAGGGGCTACGAGCCATCTTTAAGTTAACGAGGGGCTACGAGCCATCTTTAAGTTCACGAGGGGCTACGAGCCATCTTTAGGTTCACGAGGGGCTACGAGCCATCTTTAAGTTCAGAGGGGCTACGAGCCATCTTTAGGTTCACGAGGGGCTACGAGCCATCTTTAAGTTCACGAGGGGCTACGAGCCATCTTTAAGTTCACGAGGGGCTACGAGCCATCTTTAAGCTCACGAGGGGCTACGAGCCATCTTTAAGTTAACGAGGGGCTACGAGCCATCTTTAAGTTAACGAGGGGCTACGAGCCATCTTTAAGTTCACGAGGGGCTACGAGCCATCTTTAAGTTAACGAGGAGCTACGAGCCATCTTTAAGTTCACGAAGGGCTACGAGCCATCTTTAAGTTCACGAGGGGCTACGAGCCATCTTTAAGTTCACGAGGGGCTACGAGCAAGCAGATAAGTAAAGAACCCATCATGGAATTACCAACAAGAGCACACACTTAAAGCTGCTGGGAAGCTGTGTAAAACTGATTGTAGAAAACGTTTATTTACAAATGTATAGCGTTTATTAACATAAGTGCTATACAACATCTAATGACAAAGCTGAACAGTTTGGGACCAGTCACATCAAAATATTATAAGCGGAGATAATGATGTGCCTTCTTACATACACTTTAAGAAATACACTGGATGAGATTTTTATAAGTTCTCGGTAATTAAGACGTTTGACTGAAAGTATATGGCAGTGAAAGATCTCCTCACCTTTTCAAAATTCGAAATTTACCTGAAAATCGTTCCCATAATATTTTGTGGACTTGGACTAGGAGTTGAGCTACGCTTCTAATTCACAAAATGATCAATACAAACAGGCATTTGCAATTAGATTAATAGAAATATGTATTTGGAAATGGGTAATTACATCACGAGCACGCAATTTTAAAAATGATTAACTTAAATAAAATATTATGGTAATATGAAATAAATTAATAGGATTTGGTAGCCTTATTTTTTTCCCTAATTGTAGCAGCAGATTCGAGTAAAAAATATTTTGTATTTTTTTCAGGTAAGTTATTTTGTATTTTCCTTTTTTCAGGCAAGTTGACATTCTTGTGTCAGGTGTTGTTCATGTGTTCGCCAGAGGAGAAGAAAGAGTGAAAGTACATCAGCGTGTGTGTTGAAAACCCTCTCATCTCTCCGGAAGAAAAAACTCTGGTGCAGAATGAGCCACAGAATGATTTTAACAACCTCGGGTGAATGTTAGGATAAGACACCATACAAGTCTGCGTGTCTGCACGGTGTATGAAGACTGTCAACTCTCTTGTTCGTGGTAAAAACCTTGGTAATAGATACCGACATATTGATTTAGAGAAAAAACACGTAAGCAAAAACTAGAACACATTGGGAACTATAAAATGTCTAAAATATAATGGTACATGATACTCAGCCAGGTAATTCAGCACCTACCAAGCAACACAGGAATCATATGACCTCATTGTCTCCCTGACTTCATCCCAGTATGTCATTCTTCAGGTCACTATGTGTCACTCACACCTCACTCTCCACCTATATATACTGTCTTGTTAACCTCTGCATGTTAGAAGTGATCAAGGTCTCAGGACGCAAACGTTGTTTAATATGTTCTAGTGTTTGATTACGTGTTTTTCTTTTGCTCGTATTATGGGATTATCTCGGATAATGCACTTCATGAGTGAGCTTGTAATAACAAGGAAATTCCAGAGTCATACACAAACACGCACAAAATACACACACACACACACACACATATATTAACAAGTGGGCCGTCTCCCACCGAGGCAGGGTGACCCAAAAAGAAAGAAAATCCCCAAAAAGGAAATACTTTCATCATCATTCAACTCTTTCACCACACTCACACATTATCACTGTTTTTGCAGAGGTGCTCAGAACACAACAGTTTAGAAACATATACGTATAAAGATACACAATATATCCCTCCAAACTGCCAATATCCCAAACCCCTCCTTTAGAGTGCAGGCATTGTACTTCCCCTTTCCAGGACTCGAGTCCGGCTTTATAAAAATAACCGGTTTCCCTGAATCCCTTCGCTAAATATTACCCTGCTCACACTCCAACAGCATCGTCAGGTCCCAAATACCATTCGTCTCCATTCACCCCTATCGAATACGCTCACGCACGCTTGCTGGAAGTCCAAGCCCCTTGCCCACAAAACCTCCCTTACCCCTTCCTTCCAACCTTTTCGAGGACGACCCCTACCCCGCCTTCCTTTCCCTACATTTAGAGGTGTGCTCTGTGAATATATTAATATATATATATATATATTTATAAATATATATATTTAATATATATATATATGTATATATATATATATGTATATATATATATTATATATATATATATAATATATATATATATATATATTAATATATATATATATATATTATATATATTATATGTGTGTGTGTGTGTGTGTGTGTGTTGTTGTGTGTGTGTGTGTGTGTTGTGTGTTGTGTGTGTGGAGAAACAAGCCATCAGGGGCGGAATCTTTATCAAGATTTCCACCCCTGGGCTTTTGCTTTGTTAAGATCTCCTTGTCAGCAATTGTTTTGAGTATATTATATATATAAATATATAAAATATATATATATAATATATTTACATGCAAAACAATCACTCTGAAAAAATTTAATAAGTAATAAGAAAATTCCAAGCGCTTTGTGACTACTCAACATTATCAAGATACTATATAGTGAAGCATCCAAGAGTATATAAGGGGTCCGGCAGCACCTCACATATCAGATCCCACTAACGTTAAACACTGACGCGCGCGAACCAAACTTTGGGTAGGTCCATGCACAAACGTCACCCCAAGCTATCACCCAAGAAATTAAAATTATTTGTCCCGTTATTATTAAATCTTCCCAAATTCTATTAATTATAAATGGATCTAATTTATATAAACCAAAGAAAATATTCATATTATTTTCAAAACTGCTTTTTATGAAACAAGATTCAATTATATTCCTGTCGACCATTTAAAATTTACAGAAAACCTACAAATAACTGTTCCTATGTCCACTATTATTCCTCGCATCAAGATAGAGTCAAACTGTCTGTTTTCTCATCAATGTTTTTGAGAGCCTTACGAATTTGTAGTCCTGAGTTCATAGATGAGGAGATATCCAAAATTTATGAAATAGGTAATGATTTAAAATACCCAAGAAATGTAATTGATAAATCTTTTAAAGTTGCTAGAAACACTTTTTATAATCCAAAAAGGGGCAACCAGCCTTATTCAACTAAAAATATGTTGGTTCTCCCTTACCATGAAAACTTGGTTGATATGCCTTCTCTTCTTAAGACTTTTAATATTAAAGTTGTATTCAAAAATCTTGATACAGTAAAAAAACTTTTGATAAAGAATTCCCCCCAAAATGTTGATGGATGTGTCTATAAGATTCCTTGTAAAATTTGCGATAAAGTTTATTACGGTCAAACTGGTAAAAATCTCGAACTAAGATTAAAACAACATAAATATAGCATTAGAACTGGACAAGATTCCAATGTTCTATTTATTCATGTAAGAGATTTTAACCATCCAATTGATTTTCAAAAAGTTGAGAAAGTAGTATCAAGCAAGTCCATGGTCGACAGGAATATAATTGAATCTTGTTTCATAAAAAGCAGTTTTGAAAATAATATGAATATTTCCTTTGGTTTATATAAATTAGATCCATTTATAATTAATAGAATTTGGGAAGAATTTAATAATACACTGGACAAATAATTTTTAAATTTTCTTGGGTAGAATAGCTTGGGGGTGAGTTGTGCAAAGGACCTATCCAAGTTGGCTCGCCGCGCGTCACGTGTTTAACCGTTGTGGGATCTGATAGTGAGGTGCTGGCCGGACCCTTATATAGCTTCCTTGGATGCTTCACTTTCATAGTTCCTTGATAATGTGAGTAGTCACGAAAGCGCTTGGAATTTCTCTATTCTTTCAGAGTGGTTGTTTTGCATATTTCGAAATCACCTGTTTACTGTGATCTTATTGCATATATATATATATATATATATATATATATATATATATATATATATATATATATATATATATATATATATATATATATTATATATATATATATATATATATAATATATATATATATATTATTCTCAAAGCACACCTCTAAATGTGAAAACAAAATATATTATCTTATATTCAAAACTATTACGGAAAAGAACATTGGAAACATGGTTAGAAGAAATATTAGAAAAGAGTTGGAGGAAATAATTGAATAATGATGTTGAATCCTAACTAAGGAACAAGCAAAAGGCTGCTGTTAGGATCTCAGGTAAAAAGGCTAATGAACTCAAAACGACAACAGATGCGAAACTCTGATGTAAGAGTGATCACAGAGGTGAAAGTAAATGTTAATGTGTAATTGCATTCATCTATAGTGGTTGCAGTGATCGACTCACAGCTCCTGGCCCCGTGTTTTGCTAGTGGAGCCAGTTGAACATTGAACGTCAGTCTAATTCAAGCAGGTAATAAGTTCACTTTATGAATAGAGGTAGGGTGGCCGAGGTAGGGTGGCCGAGGTAGGGTGGCCGAGGTAGGGTGGCCGAGGTAGGGTGGCCGAGGTAGGGTGGCTGAGGTAGGGTGACCCGAAAAAAAGGAAATACTTTCCCCCTCGCTCATTCCATCACTTTCTTGCCAGAGGCAACACTGATTCAACACTTCTCCTTCAGACATCGTGTCTGACATCAGTTTGCTATGTGCATGTGTCAGGATGTTGAGAGAACATGGTAATTAGATCCCAGCTCGATTGACCCGGTAGGTCTCTTAAATACATGCATTCATCCTTACCAACGCAGACACCCTTGTAGTGTCACTGGTTGTGAGGCGTTCGCCAACAGCCTGGCTAGTCAAAAACAGGACCGCGATTAGCAGACGGAGGTTCGAGCCTCCTCCACCACCACTCCCTCCAGCACGTGGAAAGTAATATCAAACTCTTCTATTTTGTAGCCATTTATAATAATCTACATAATTACATTCACAATATTAATAATTTACAAATTTATGTATTGACTATCTTATTATTTTACAAAATATTAAAATTGTTAAACCAGTTATAATTGGTATAACCAAATATAATTTTTTTTATTCTTATATTCCTATATTAATGTTATAATATTTCATTGCAATATTATAGTGATTTTTTTTATTATTAACACATCGGCCGATTCCCACCAAGGCAGGGTGGCCCGAAAAAGAAAAACTTTCATCATTCACGCCATCACTGTCTTGCCAGAGGTGTGCTTTACACTACAGTTATAAAACTGCAACATTAACACCCCTCCTTCAGAGTGCAGGCACTGTACTTCCCATCTCCAGGACTCAAGTCCGGCCTGCTGGTTTCCCTGAATCCCTTCATAAATGTTACTTTACTCACACTCCAACAGCACGTCAAGTATTAAAAACCATTTGTCTCCATTCACTCCTATCAGATACGTTCACGCATGCTTGCTGGACGTCCAAGCCCCTCGCACACAAAACCTTTAAACCCTCCCTCCAACCTTTAATCGGCCGACCCCTACCCCGCCTTCCCTCCACTACAGATTTATACACTCTCGAAGTCATTCTGTTTCATTCCATTCTCTCTATGTGTCCGAACCACCTCAACAACCCTTCCTCAGCCCTCTGGATAATAGTTTTGGTATTCCCCCACCTCCTCCTAATTTCCAAACTACGAATTCTCTGCATTATATTCACACCACACATTGCCCTCAGACATGACATCTCCACTGCCTCCAGCCTTCTCCTCGTTGCAACATTCACCACCCATGCTTCACACCCATATAAGAGTGTTGGTATAACTATACTCTCATGCATTCCCCTCTTTGCTTCCACGGACAAAGTTCTTTGTCTCCACAGACTCCAAAGTGTACCACTCATCCTTTTCCCCTTATCAATTCTATGATTCACCTCATCCTTCATAGACCCATTTGCTGACACGTCCACTCCTAAATATCTGAATACATTCACCTCCTCCATACTCTCTCCCTCCAATCTGATATCCAATCTTTCATCACCTAATCTTTTTATCCTCATCACCTTACTCTATTCTATATTCACTTTTAATTTTCTTCTTTTACATCCCCTAACAAATTCATCCATCATCCTCTGCAACTTCTCTTCAGAATCTCCCAAAAACATAGTGTCATCAGCAAAGAGCAACTGTGACAACTCCCCTTTGTGTTAGAATCTTTATCTTTTAACCCCACACGTCTTGCCAACACCTGCGCATTCACTTCTCTTACAACTCCCTCTATAAATATACTGAACAACCACGGTGACATCACACATCCTTGTCTAAGGCATACTTTTACTGGGAAGTAATATCCCTCTCTCCTGCATACTCTATCCTGAGCCTCACTATTTTCGTAAAAACTCATCACCGCTTTCAGTAACCTACTTCATATTCCATACTTTTGCAACATCTGCCACATTGCTTCCCCTATCCACCCTGTCATACGCCTTTTTCAAATCCATAAATACCACAAAAACCTCTTTATCCTTATCTAAATACTGTTCATCTATATGTTTCACTGTAAACACCTGGTCCACACACCCCCTACCTTTCCTAAAGCCTCCTTGTTCATCTGCTATCCAACTCTCCGCTTACTTTTAATTCTTTCAATAATGACTCTACCCTACACTTTACCAGGTATACTCAACAGACTTATTCCCCTACAATTTTTGCACTCTCTTTTGTCCCCTCTGCCTTTATACAAAGGAACTATGCATGCTCTCTGCCAATTCCTAGGTACCTTACCCTCTTCCATGCATTTATTAAACATTATCACCAACCACTCCAAAACTGTATCCCCACCTTATCCCATCAATCCTAGCTGCCTTACCCCCTTTCATTCTACCCACTGTCTCACGTACCTGATTCCCCCATACTCACAACTGGTTCTTCCTCACTCCTAAAAGATGTTATTCCTCCTTGCCCTATACACGAAATAACAGCTTCCCTATCTTCATCAACATTTAACAATTCCTCAAAATATTCCCTCCATCTTCCCGATATCTCTAACTCTCCATTTAATAACTTTCCTCTCCTATTTTTAACAATCAAATCCATTTGTTTCCTAGGTTTCCTCAACTTATTAATCTCACTCCAAAACCTTTTCTTATTTTCAACAAAATTTGTTGATAACATCTCACCCACTCTCTTATTTGCTCTCTTTTTATGTTGCTTCACAACTCTCTTTACCTCTCTTT